TGGGGGTGGGGGGGGGGCAGAAGCCGTCAGCGTTTACACCCGAAGTACAGCGCAAAGAACAGACACCCCCCCATGACAACCAGGGCCCTACAATATATACCATACATGTGGACTGCAGCCCAAAGGTGGAGTACACACTGTACATGTAGCACACAGGAGCAGCTGTTGGTACACAGCAGAGAGGGGGGGGGGAGGGGGGGGCAGGCCGACCAGGAGCGAAGCGAGCGACCGACTTGTTAACTATAGCAGGGAGGGCGTGGCCTCACCCCCTCCCCTGTACACGGCAGTCCCATGCAGGTTCTCCTCCGCCTCAGTCGCAGTAGATCTTGTACTTCTCACTGCAGAAGACGGCGGGGCCTCCCAGAATGCCGTTGGGCAAGGCATTGATGGGCTCTGGTCGGCCGGAGCCGTAGCAGACGAGGCTCTGACCCGTGTTAGGGCTCAGAGAGGCTCCGACCGCGGCGGCGCCGACAGCTTTGCCGCGGGCTTTGGCACGGGCGGCGTTCCCTCCGCGGCGGTTCTGCTCGTGGTCGAACTCCAGGTCCTCCAGCCGCTGCGTCAGCGCCAGTTTCTGCTGGATGGCCATGCGCAGCAGGGAGTTGAGCGTCTTCTTCTCGTCCTCGGCTGCAGCCAACTGTCGCTGCATCTGGTCCAGCTGGGTCACATACTCATCGCAGCTGTGGGACAGACGGGGCAGAGGGTTAGAGTCCGACCGCTCACTTCATCTCAGATCACAGTTTGTTGGTTTTTATTTTATCTTTCTTCGTCTGTCTGTGTTTTTACCGTTACTGTCTTCAGTACTCACTGAGCTGCACTTCACCTTCCCACCACTAGGGCGGTTTTTGGTCCTCACTCAACAAACCACACCTCTGCCTTGGCAGGGACTTGAACCCTAAACCGCAGTTGTTGTTCACATTCCACTGACCCAGTGTTGTTGGATCTTATTTTTGTACTTCGTGTACAGAAAAGGGCCACACCCCTCTGATTTATCACCATCAACCAAGGCTTCATTCTGAGCGTTGTATTAGACTAGAGGTTTATATGAAACTCGTTTTACTGCGTCTACGTCAGGCAGAGGTTGAACAGCCTCTGCCACCACCAGGTGGAGCCCCTGAGTCGACCCACCCAGGCAGGAGCAGCTGAAGAAGCTGCAGCTCTGTTCCTACTGACTGGCTCCGGCTGCGTCAGCTGGTCCGTCAGCTGGTCCGTCAACAGTCAAGAAGAAGAAAAGGACCACAACAACATCCGTGGACGGCGTCATCACCGGGTCAGGGCACAGTGGAGGATGCTGATTGGACGGAAGTGTTAGAACCCGGGGCTCAGTGAGAACGTCTCAGGAGACACGAGAGCTGCAGCTGACCCCCCCAAGAGGACAAGGGCACAACCAAACAATTGGGAGGACACAGTAACAACACAGACTGTTGGAGTGGTCTTTAAATGAAGCCCCTCCCCCTGACTCCCCCCTCTGTCTCTGATGGTCTCGGGAGAGATGTGGTGGGAGGGTGGGGAACCGGCCGGTACGCCCCC